CCGGATTACACACGCAATGAATCGGATCCGGAACTCAGTGCAAGACAATATATTCTAAGGCGCTTCAAGAATATGAATCATCAGTCACTGAGCATTTATAGCTTCTGGGTTGATTTGGATTCGAGCGATAATCAGCATTTGTATGGCGCGCTTAAGAAGACGCTGAGTAAGGTTCAGGCGACGAAGGCGCAGGAGCGGGCTTGGTGTGAGGGGCTTGAGGCGCAGACGGAGAGTGAGAGGCCGAGTACGAATGGGCTGAGTGTTGCGGTTAGTACGGAGAGGGCGAGGAGTCGGAGTGGGGGGAGGAAGAGGTAGGGAGGGGGGTAGGGTGGTGGTTGGCAATTTGATGGAGCTTGGATGAGGTGGTGGGTTGGTTGGATGTGGTCATTTGGCTGGTGCGTTGAAATGGGATTTAAGACTGGGTTGGTTCGATATCTGGGGTCGGGGCAAGGGCTCGGTATTTTGCTGTTTGGGGTTGGCGTTCCAGGGATTGAAGATACCATGGTGCGGGTTATTTGGATGATAGACGTGGAGGGATTGAGCGTAGCAAAACGCGACGTGCTATTCACATAGAGCGTGGTGCAAGGACTGGTTGTCTCAAATAGATCGAATTGTAATGTTTAATACCCCAACTGAGATTCCATATACTCGCGTGTTGCGACATGCTGTCATCGACCATCTCATGGTACCTCTCATAGGTCTCGTAGCTCGAGCGTTGGCAGTAAATGGGCGTGCGCACCGCCTTTGTTCTCACGATCCCACGCCCATCGCTTGGCAAGAGAGGGGTCTAGGGTACCATCCAGCATCTCCACGACGTAGCGACCGATCGTAGGCATGAATTTCCATCCGTGGAAAGAGCCGCCTGTCGCAACATAGAGGTTTCGAGAATGCGGGTGTGGCGTGATGATGAAGTCTTGGCTTGGTGTCACTGCATCCCTAGATACTATTAGCCCGGTCCGTCATGATGGTTGCGCCGCGCAACTTACCAGCACACACGATACTTGTCAAACTTAATGTCCTTCCCGGGTTCACCCAGTATGCCGTTCTTGACGAGCTCAAGTCGTTGTTTAAGAGCTTCGTTCGGCTGCCTCTGCGCTTGACCGGGCTCGTTCGGCGGGGAGGAGAACTCTTGACCTGATGCCTCGTGTTTGACGGTGTTCTTGTAGGCTTCGTCTCTGCAGAATTTGACGGTATATGGATCTTGGTCCGATAAGGGCGCTGTTAGTGGCATCACTTCCCCTAGATTCTGTCAGTTGGATCAAAAACGGTAGACGTCGGTCTCCTCACCTCGTGTTGGTAAGACAGAATGTACTGTGACTGGAATCTCGGTATACTGCTGCCCCTTCTTTGGGTCTAGGTTGACGATGCCAGTGACTACTGCTCCAGCGACCAGACGCCCGTCGACTTGTAGCTCGCCTCTGCTCGGAGCACTGTCGGCGATCAATTTGGCGGTGCCTGCACCAGTAGCGAGGATGATGCGATCTGCTGTGATGTTCTCACCACCTTTCGTCAGAACTCCAGTACATTCTCCATCAGTACCGAAGGTCAACACGTCGATGTCTGCTGTGGTATACTTGACTCCTGCCTCGATCGCGGCGTCAGTGTAAGCGGTCAGAGCCTTGGTGGCTTCGGCCCACCCGCTGTCTCTGTTCACGAACACTTCGCCAACCTCAGAGAAATCGGTGTTATCATAGAAAGAACCGTACATCGCCCTGAAGCGTTCGGGGCTCACCACCTCCGCATCAACCTTCACTCCAAGCTTCTCATAGTTCTTCAAGATCTCTTTACCCAGGTCGGTATTGTCGATGTTGACCAAACCGCTCTGGTGGTAGAACTGCCTGAAGAGTGGGTCATGTCGCCAGTGCTGTATGGCTTCCAACGCCTTTTCCATGTAGAAGATGTCGCCATAGTCTGCACGGATGACTTTGTTCCAGTCCCAGGATGCCGCAAGAGGGCAAGGGTATTGTGTTCGGTCAATTAGTTGTATATGTGCTTCGGGGTACCTTTTGATGAGGTGGTAGGCAGTGGAGACACCGAAGACTCCAGCTCCGATGATCAGATATGATGGCTGCGAGCTCATTGCGCATGGTAATTTTTTAGTGAGTGGGCAAGTTCACCGGCACGTGTGGACGTGCATGTTGAATTGACAGTTCGCATGCTTCGAGTATTCTGTTGACGATCAATGTATGAGTCGGAGACGGCAGGAGCGTAAGTGGTGATGACGCACACCCCTGTCATTCTTGACGACGCGCTAGTCCCCTCAACGCGTCGCGTCGACCAACGCTCCAACGCCCCAACTTATCGATTGCTCCACCCACCCACCATGACGCCCAAGACGCGTTCCAGCAACCAAGACGCCGACTACAAAGTCTACTATTCCAAGAAAGTGCCCCAGCAGGTGCGCTTCCCACACAAGCGCAAGACTGTGCGCCGGCGCTCGACTCCGGTACACGATGGGAAGCGGCAAATGGTCTTCCTGCCGGATAAGATGAGGAGGCCGGGTACTCCTGTTGTCGCTGACTCGGATGAGGATAGCGATACGGATCTTGAGGAAGATTTGGAAGACGGAGGCGTTCCGATCAAGGCCGAGGTGGAGGAGGAAGAAGAACAGCAGCCTGTGAGGCAGACGAAGAGGAAGGGGAAGAAGCGGAACAGTGATGGAGTGCAGCAGGAAGACAACGAAGAGGATGAGCCAGTGCAACCTACATCTAAACGCCGACGGACGGCAGCCACGCCTAAGAATCCTCGCCGCTCGAGGCGCGCCGAAGCCGAATCCAATGACGACAACGTTGCGACAGCCACCAAGACCAACCGCGAGCGCACATTACGGCGACAGTCAACAATGACACAATTGGTAGACGGACGGAAGCCCTTGCCAGACGACGAAGAGCCTAGCTTTAAGCCCGTGAAACAGGGCTCGCGACTGAGTTGGGGTGGACGTGGCAAAAGCGAAGCAAAGAGCGACAGGAAGCAGCGCACGTTAACGCAGATGATACCAGGCATGCGGCCACAAGAGATCATGTCGGATGAGGATCTAGATGAGATATTGAGCGATGTCGAGGCAGAAGACAGGGCTAGTCAGACCTACGGCGATGCTGTTGCGCAGCGTCTGGCGCAACAAGGGTTTTATCGCATCGAGGGGAATGGTGCTAGAGAGGACAGCAGTGCAGACGAAGCTGGAAACGACATGGAGCAGAGCCCAGAGGACGAACAAATAAAGAAGGAGCCCACGGCAAAATCGCAAGACACCCCGGAGTTGGTGGTGCAGTCAGTGGAAGACGAGATGAACGAGGACTGCGAAGACAGCTACAAACCCACACAGTTCATCGAGGCTCCTGTCACAAGAACGACCCGCGCGACGAGACGAGGGAACAGACCACGGGTCGCAGACACGGAAGAAGCTTTCTATGCGCCGCAAAGGCAGGCCAAGACACGTAAAACCCGCTTCAGCCTTCTAGCGACTCCAGAGAAACGCCGTATTCGCGAGATTCCCTCCTCTCAGTCACCCGCCGACTCGCCACTATCGACCCAAGTCTCTCCACAAAAGCTACATCGCTCTCCTCTCAAGCAGCGCTCGGACAATCCAATTCTTGTACCAGACACACCTTCGAAACGTAAGCAAGTTACTTTCAAGATGCCTTCGAAAACGCCTATACCACCACCACCAACACTGAGGAAGTTTGAGAGTACGATACAAGACTCCGAAGACGAGGATGATGGTATCATAGAAGAAGAACTGCCTACTATTGGACGTCGCGGAGTGGAGGATATGCAGGCTCTTTCCGGGCGCCGTGAAGCTGCGACTGGGAAGACCGTTGGCGCTGATACTCAGGCAGTACTCGACAGGATCGACCAGGCATGTGCTGATGCAATCGGAGAGGAAGTTATGGAGGAGTTGGCATCATCACTGGGATCAGATGATCTACCTCAGCTTCGCGGTGATCAAGAACCTTCTCCCGAACTTGGCGACCCGCGAAAGCAGTCGAGTGGCAGATCGTCCTCTACTGTAGCCGAGTCCGTCGCTGTCAAGCAGGAGCCCGGATATGACGATGACGACTACGAGGATGACGAAGACGACGACGCAACAATACTGCCCACAGTCCCGTTCAATCCGTCGAATGAAGGGAGGCCAGTCAAGAGCGAGGCTGACACGAGTAGCGAAGGAGAACTACCTTTACCTGAAGAGCAGCTCCGCTCCACCCCTCCAGTCATCGAAGACCTCAATCAAGAAACCTGCCCATCGACACCGATGGTCATCAACGACGATTCATCAGAAGAAGAGGATGAATCAGCACCGGACCCAACGCCTCCACGATCAAGCAAGGCACATGTACCGCAGTCCAACTCAACAGACACCCACCAATCGGCAGATCTAAACGACGAATCCATACAAGTCCCCCGTTCCCCATCCCCCGACCACGAAACCCAACAGTCCCACTCCAGCAAAGCAGAGCAGCAACTCCACAACGAATGGTTCTCATACTCCCAATACATCAACGCCCGAGCCCCCGAATCCTCAAGCATGCGCGCCGCCCCCGACGCATTCAGCTACAACGACACGCCGCGCCTCCCCCAACCCACAGCACCCCATTCAAACACAAACCACCAACCATCAGGCTTCCACCCTTCTCAAGCAACAACCGTGGATGAAATCACGCAGCGCACGCCCCGACGGAAGCGTACCCAGCTTTTCTCCAGCACGCATACTACACCCCATCGTATCGCTAGTTCTCAGCCGAATATCTCGCCGGGGAAACCGCCGCCGTTGTTTATACCGAGTAGTTTCCCTAGTCCGGAGAAGGTCGCGGTGGAGGGGGAGGGGTGGAGTAGTCCTATGTTTGGGATGACGCAGGCGACGCATGCTGCTGGGGGGTGGAAGAGTAGTCAGTGGGCTAGTTTGGAGGATTTTAGTATTCCGCCGATGCCGCCGGGGATGGATGGGGATGGGGATGGGGATGGGGATGGGGATGATGAGTAGAGAGATAATAGGTAAAATCTAATCATTCCTGAATCATGATGTCCTTGCACATGAGGGACATCTCTTAAAAGACCATAGCCCCACCATCAACAATGATATCCGTCCCATTAATATACCTCCCCGCATTACTACACAGCAGCACCAACGGCCCCGTAAGCTCCCACGGATGCCCCATCCTCCCCATGGGATTCCTATCATTCCAACTCTTCCTCGCCCTAATCAAACCATCGCCATCATTCAATATCGTATCCATATACCCCGGGCTTAGGCAATTCACCCTAATACCATAGCTACTCCACTCCGCCGCCAAACTCTTCGCCAGCGACAACAGCGCCGTCTTGGACGAATTATACGCGCATTGCGGCTGAGGGTAGTTCGTGTGATGCGCGGATATACTCGCTGTAAACGTAACACTACCCCCCGTCCCCTGCGCACGAAACTGCTTTGCGACAGCTTGCGCGCAGAGGAAAGAGCCAGTGAGATTGATATCGTGGGTGCGCCTCCATTCATCTGCCGCCATCTCAATCGCGTGTGTGCAGCCTACCACGCCGGCGAAACAGCAGAGCATGTCTATGCTGCCCAGCACCTTTACGCTGCTTTCTACGGCTGAAGCGATGGCTTTCTCGTCGCGTACATCGACGGCTTCCGTTATGATGCGCGCGGAAGGGAACCGTGAGTGCAGTTTCTTGACGCTTTCGAAGGCTTGGTCCGGGTTCATGTCCCAGAGAGCAAGGCCCGTAGCGCCGTGTTCGAGGAGGGCGGCTGCGGCCTCGAGGGCGAGGGTGCCGGCGCCGCCGGTTACTGTGGTGGTGGTGGTTAGTGGGATGGGTAAGGTGTGGGGTGTGTGGGGTGTGGATGGGGATGGGTATGGAGATGGAGAGGGCGAGGTTACCCTAGAGGCGTTCACGTACTGATCGCATTGCCCTTGACCTGGAACCTATACTGCGCTCTCTCTGCGGTGGAGAGGCTCTCTGGTGGTGGTCTAGGCGCTGTAAGAGGGTTGTCTGCTGTCGACAGTGTCATCTCTGGGAGCTGTCGGTTGACGAGCGCGGCGCGGTCTTCTGCGTCTCCTGCCATTTTGATTTGATTGCTGCGTCGATGAAGTTGAATAGGGTGTTTGATGTGTTTCCTGGTGGATTGGGGTCTTGGTACGCGGATTCAGCCTTCTTATGAACGCGTTCGGACGACAGAGGTCCGTTTGTTCGGATTGTTGGTGGAGCGCGCCCAGCTCGAACATGACGTCGGAAAGGGTCCGCCCCACTGGCTTTCACCCCACCAGCGAGTGAGGAAGGTGTGCCGAGCGCGGGGTTCATTGCGACACCACAACCTCCATTTCCACAGTGTTGATGTGTAACCATCAAGCGCTCATCAATACGCCTCGGCGACTCGTTCGCAGCACTACTAAGTTCAGACTCAATATTCCCACAAGTCGCGATTTGCGCATCTGATCCGATCTAGCAATTCCACCCAGCGAAATGTGACGAGCGACTAACTTCCGGCGTAAAGGTGAATGCCGTGCACGATGTCGGTCCCTCACTACCAGCACTTCTTTTCACACAAGAACCATTCGGATTGGGATTTGAGTCTACATACCTCGAATATGTAACTCACCCAAGTGGAGCGAGACCTGCAACAAACCTCTTTCTCTATCCCACGTCACTCAACCATGAAATACTCATCGCAACCAACTCCGTCAACCCTCGAAAGAGACTTCGGACCAGCATGGTCCGACCGCCTTCGCACAACGATTCCCTCCAACTCTGAGCTGATGATTGTCGAACAGGAAGCATGGAAGGATCAAGCTCATATGAGAGATGATACACTAGCCGACCCAAGACCTGTCGACCCCTGGAGACTAATAACTCCACCTGGGACGCCTCGAAAAGAATACAACGATCAAAGAGACGACATAGACGCTGGCTTCGTACTTGACCAGGAATACAATCCTACGCGATGGGCGCTTGTCAAATACGATTACAACTTTGAAGCTTTTGAGAGAGTCAAGGCGCATCAATCACGCTGTAGTCTGGAAACGCAAAGCTTTGCGAAGAAGATTGTATGGTATGTCTTCTTGGCTGTCCTACTTCACGGGATCTGGACGCACTGGAACGAGTCTGAGAAGCGCGGTACGTGCGATTGCCATTGCCCGTACTGTACTGCAACAGTCGATTGATGTTTGGGTTTGCCGGAAGAAGTCGAATGGAATGAGCCCGTGTATGCGACGCTTTCTCAAGCATACCATAAGCCTACCGCGATGTTGGAAAGATAACTCGTCTTGTTCATGCATTCTTGTACGTGCTGGTAGTTGAATGGACGATAATGTCGCCGTATTCACGTAAAACGAATTCTTTGATCAACTATTCACTGTGATGATCCGTAAATGCTGCCTCAATAGCAGCTCCATCCATCACTGTGCTGCGCGCGATGCAGCTAAGATGCGGGGTCTCCACATCGTACCTTCCGCTAGTGATTGTTCGATCTGCATCATGAAAACGTACAACGACCCAGCTGACCAAACGCTTTTTGATCATGACCGGCAGGCCCGGGGTCTTGTCACATATCTATTCGCGACCCTTTCCGACCACGTCCAATGGCAAACGAAGACGGTTTGGTAAGACGTGGTACCAAAAGAGCAAGGACGCGACACGGGTCAGTACAATCAAAAGCACACCACAACAATTACAAAATGCTAACGCACATCTCCCAGCTGCACCAACTGCAAAGTAAAAAGACGCAAATGCGACGAAACGAAACCCACATGCGGTCGCTGCAGCAGCAAGAACGAAAAATGCAACTGGGCTTCTCGCCTCACCTTCCGGGCCGAGAACGCGTTGGGTGTAGGGCCATCGTCGCTGCATCGCGCACCAGGACGAGCGCCTACACGCTTCAAAATCAAGGATGTGACTGCGGAAGTTATACGCGACTATCAGCATTACGATCCAGTGGATGACCTTGATGTAGCAGACCGATTCAATCATGATGGTCAGACTCCTCCTTCTACTTCTAACACCATATCGCCAGCTACAGCCGACAACGAGCAGGTACCACCGCATCATGGCCACCCGTATTGGCAGCCAAACACGCCTTTCTCGGCTGCTCAAGATACGATAGACCCTCTCCAGTCGTCCCAGTATGTGCCTTTACCCACGACGGGTGATATCGAGTCTATCTGGCACAGTCCGGGCACTACTACGTATCTAGACGATAGCGTATTCCTGCCAGGTTCAGCGTATCTCGATGCACATTCCACGTTCCGGAGCCATTTGATCCAGGAAGTGAGATCTAATGTGCCGACTCGAGAGGTTACACCGGATGCTGCGCGTATTGGACAGGGCTGGGGAGGGGTGCAGGCAGATTACGGATCGGATGTAGGGAGGCATGTTGCGGAAACTTCTCTCGACACCACTTCTGTCAATGAGCCTGATACGACGAACATTCAGCCACCCCAGCTGTCCGCGGAAGAAGAATTTGAACTATGGAAGAACTGGCTGGATGAAGTAGCACCCTGGATCGATAAATTCGACCCGGAGCGCCACTTCCAACGCACACTACCCATCATGGCACGCTCACATGATCATCTGCGGTATTCCATGCTTGCGCTCTCGGCACGCCAAATAGAGCGGAAGAATAACAGTAAACATACCTCGCGCAGTCTAGCTCTGTATCAGACCGCTATCCAACTCGTGCTACCACAACTACATACGCGCAGCACACCCGTAATAGCATCATGCGTTGTTCTATGTGTATTCGAGATGCTGAGTAGTTCGGCGAAAGCGTGGCATCAGCATCTAGACGGATGTGCGCATTTGCTGGAAGCTGTGGGAATCAATGGGTTCAGCGGTGGTGTGGATCAAGCGCTGTTCTGGTGCTTTGCACGCATGGACGTCTGCGGCGGACTCATCGCGTCGTCGAAAACGCTTATACCGGTTGAGCACTGGGCTTCTTCTGGAATGGGTCTCGATGCCGACGTAAACCGTTTTCGTTCCGTTGGCGACTACAACGTCTACGCATGCGAAGCCGTGTATCTCATCGCTCAAATCCTCGACTTACTGTCTTTCCATTCCAACCTAGCCGGTCGCGTGGGCGCCACACCACGCTTACCCACAGACACAGATACCGCATACTCCGCTCGCTGGACCCAACTCTGGCATCACATCTCAACATGGTACACCACGCGCCCCGCCGAAATGCTCCCAATTTCTTCCTTCACTCCACCCACCACCCCCTTCCCCCGTCTCCTCTACAGCAACCCCGCCGCCATGTCCGGCAACCAACTCCACCACACCGCCTGCATCTTGATGCTGCGCCACAAACCTCCCAACACAACCGTTACACCCAAACCCAACTCAATCTTCTGGCACGCGAGACAGATCTGTGGGATCTCGATTAGTAACGATGATCATGCTGCTTGGACGAATGCGATTCAGCCGCTGTGGATTGCGGGACAGTGGATGAGCCATGAGAGTGAGCAGAAGGCTATCTTGGGGTTGTTGGAGAAGATTGAGAGACTTTCGGGGTGGAGCACGAAGTGGAGGGCGGAGGATTTGAGGGAGTTTTGGGGGTAGGGAGAGGGTTGATGTGAGGCTAGGGTTCAGCCTGGTCTTCTATAGCGTGTGTGGTGGCGGTGTTACGCGAAGCCTTGGGTTGTTTGCCGCTGGAGGCGCATTTGATATCCCCGATGGGTGAGGCTCCCAATCATGTTCGATGACCTTGGAGGCTGAAGTTCAGCTTTCGGAGCTCAGTGTCCAGTCGTGGAAGCCTCTCGTGTTCACGGGCTTGGCGGCATCTTCTGGCCCCCCCCATGTTCAGCCTCGTAGCCTGGTCTATTGTATTAAAAGCTTCGCTGTTGCCAGATGTTGCGACAGTCTAATCCATATCGGCATAGCCTTGCTGTAATTCGAGTCCGCCGAAATGGGCAACAGCTTTGGTTTCCTCAGAGGCGAAAGTGGAAGTGGGTTTCAGTTCAACGTGGTGGAGGCCTGCAAGGCTGAGGATGTAGACCTCGCTCAGGCTTGTAGCCTAACGTTCGACGCAAATCATGACTTGGTCTCGATTGGCAATGTCAAGAGGGGAAGAATGGCGCCGCAGCCTGGTATAGCCGGCATCGGAGTAAGTCAAGGTGGAAGATCGCAGACATTGTACGCGAGCTAACGTCGCTAGATCTGGATCGCGATGGTACTGTTCTTCGTTGTTGTGGCGATATCTCTCATCTTTGTCTTTATCGAGCTCTGGTCCAGAGCAGATGTCTCGTGAGTAGCTCGAAGCAATTGCTGGACAAGGCTAATCGTCAACGCAAATAGTCAGTTCAGCAGCGCCTTCGCGAGTCTCAGAGACAAACCCAATAACAAGACTTCCGGAAAACCGAACGCGGATCCGACATGGAAAGACAGAGTGCGCGCAGCTGGCCGAACATTCGTCTTGGGTGTGGCAGACACCCAGACCATCTTCGTCGGAGCTTTCCTTCTCGGTTTCGCTGGCCGAAGCAAGTGTAAGCTAACAAGCTATCATTTCACAGTCGCCGTCAGTCAAATGATGATCGCGCTGTCTGTTCTCACCTTCTCCATCGCGCTGGTACGGACGTACTGGCGTAATCCACTTGCAGCCGCTTTTCGACTAATTCTCTCGGTTGGGGCCTTTATCGGTGTCGGGTTGACCATCTTCAGGGAAGCCAACTATGCTCCGTATGGCGCACTTGAACATTCGAGCCAAGACAGTGCCATCCTGCTCCCAGTAGCATGTATGCTAGAAATGGGCCTACGATCAGCGGCAGAGGATCAAGCACGCCAGAACCAAGCCAATCTCGGTTTCGGAAACGCAACAGCCTGGCCACCCGAAAGATTCATGTACATCGTCCTCGGCGTCGCTTTCATCGCCGCCCACATCTCAGTCCCCATCCGCTTCGCCGAATCCAAGGACCGCGCACCGAAAGTCTGGACGGAGAAGCGCGCTTTCGTCACCTTGATCTACTGGATCTTGGTATTGCTCGCACCCATCGTGACGTCAATGTTTTGCTGGTTCCGCGTGTACACAATGCGCGAGTGGGTAGCTGGTTCAGGGTGGATGGAGGATCCGAATACGGAGATGATAGTGTGGGATTCGGGGCAGTTGATTGCTATGGGTGTGCTTGTTACTGTTGTCATGAATGTGCTTACTGAGGCGATGGAGAGGGAGAAGAAAGACGCGAGGAAGAGGAGTGACGGAATGGATGGAGAAGCGGAGGTGGAGTTGCTGCCGACTGCGTATCGTGGGTATGAGTATTAGGGTGCCTGATGGATCCTCTCACGCGTTTAGGCAATGGTAGCGAACTGTAGCCGAAAATTGTGACTAGACGAGCCATGATGGGGCTCTCTCAGCATCGTGTCGGGGTTTGCGCGTTGTCAGAAGTAAGTCTCGGTTGCGCATGAATTGTGACATTGTGTTGGTGATGGTGAAGAGTGGGCGCGTCGCGATTTCAAAGCGCGCTGACGGCACCAGCAGCGCACGGACTCTCGGAGGTTGCGGCGATGTCGACCACTGTATGGTTGTCTCCATTACCACGACCATCGCCGCCCGAGACACGCAGAACCCGGTCGAAGGCCTTACGTAGCTTGCGCCTTCTATATACGAATCACGACGCCGAGTGCACCTCTTTCCCTACGGATGGGCACACCACCACATCGCCCCCATCTGATCGCTGCCTTGGCTGGTGCCGTGTGCTTTCACTATTACCGTTATACAGCGACATATTCACACCTAATCTAATACTTCCCCTGCAGACCGACCCACCACCGAGAGCGTCAGGACCTATCTAAACACATTTACCCTACACATACACCGATTCGACGTCTCGCACTGGCCGCTTCAACGCCCCGCCACCATGTTCACGAGCTTCACCGGCAACACGCGAAAGGCGCGCCAAGTCAACCTCGGCGGCAAGAAGACGAATCCCTTCGGCCCTCCCGGCTCCGGCGCCGGGTCACAAGCCGCCCTCGATCGCGCACAGCAAGAGCGAGCGCAACGACAGCGGGAACGAGATACGCTCAATGCGGCCAAGCGAATACAGAAAGTATGGCGGGGTCACTCCGCCAGGAGAGATGTGGCGGACGAGCTACGGGGCGCATGGGACCGGGTAGAAGAGGCAAATGGCTCTTCGAGGACGGCGACATATGACTCGGAGGAGGAGGCTCTCGCCCAACTACAACGGCTGCTTCGATTCGCGTCGTCACGGAGCGATGACGACTTGCGACGGATACAGTACTATGCATCGCGCCAAATGGAAACAGTCAAGAAGTTGGGCATCACATCAAGCGGGCCGTGGCCGTGGGCATATCTAAGGCTGGAGCGCATCCTACTCGTGGCCATAGAGCGGCAGCTCCAGAAGCACGCGCCAATGCAATGGAATCAGGTTGGAGCATCTCTCACCGTCTTACAGTTCCTCGCCGACCAGATACCCGCCGAAACGTCCCAGAATGCCGAGCATTACTACCGTACACTTGCACGCGTCGTGTCCACCTTCACCCCAACACTTGAAACGCAGAGCGAAGGATCGGAGATAAGTGACACCATAGTCAGGGCAGCCCTCTCACCGATGACGCGGGTGACTGGCTACACACTGGATGCTTACGAGGCTTTCGGTATACACTTCTTGACTCTCCCACTATTAGGCTCAGACTCAACGTCACCACCATTACAAAAGTTCCGCGACTCGCTCGCCGACGCCATCAACTACAAGCTACTCGCAAACGCATTGGCGACACTCTCCAAGAGGGCAGGACTGCAAAGCAAATCCGAGCTGAAGAACACATCAAGTAGACTGCGTTTACTGGGAAACTTCATCTACTTCCACCGCTACGCCCACAACTTCGACACCCCCGAAGCCTACGCCGTCCACAAAGATTTTGTAGCAGTCGTATCGGTTCTGTTGAACTCCCTGCCAATCAATATTGTAGATGACGATCATCCAATCGCCGAGCTTTCCGAAGACGATGGTGCTGAACAAGACTCCAGCGCTGTGTCGAATTTCTTGAAAGAGCAAGTCCGCTCCCTGGTACATCAGGAAGGTATTGGGAGTCTTTTGGCCGGATCATCACAGTCAGCGGAAGCTTCAGATGATGAGAAGGTCGAAGAAGCCCGGCAGCTTGCAAACTACGCGCTTGCATTACTTCGCTTCTTCCCTCGTCGCGGTGATGAGATACGAATGTGGCTTTACATCGGTCCATCAGAGGCGTCTGGGAAGAGCGCAAGGAAGCTTCCCGCAATCAAATACTTTTGGGAAGCATCGAAACGATCATCGGTCTTTACCACCATCTTCAGGGACTCGAGGGCAGCTATCGGACTTTTAAAGCCGAAGTCTTCAAATCTGAACAACTCTGACCGCCCCGGCACATCTGGACTAACGCAACATGGCTTTTGGCAGCCCGCACAACAGCAAGTCGATCGCGACGCAGTCACCACCGACGAGTGGCGGGTCATTCTGGTGTTCCTTGAACTATATACCTTTGTACTCAAAGTCACCGACGACGAGGAGTTCTTCACTTCGGGGCAGAAAGACATCTACTCGGGCCAGATCCGCGACAGTGGCCTACCTCTAAGCGAGGTGAAGGATTTGACGACTTTCCTGAAGAATTTGGGCTTCACACTTTACTTCAACGCAGTAGACATTACAACCTCGGAAGAGGATATGGGAGGCAATAACAGAAGTCTTAGCTACTTCAATCCTGGAGTCATGGATAATCAAGCCCAGAAAGAGCATGCTGAGCCATCAATAGGTGGTGTCGCAGGCTTGAGGATAGATTACGTGAAAGGGCTGGTCACTGGACTACTTCGTATGGTGTACGAGCGCGACTCGCGACGCAAGTTCCTGCCTTCGGACCACTGGCTGATGGTTTCGCGCTTCGACATGACAGGGTTCATTCCGGCTGTAGTCGAGGAGGAAGAGTCGCGGCACAAGATCCAAGAGGAAGACGCGGAAGATCTTGACGACCTGGAAGAAGAGGAATTCGACGACACACCACAACTCATCGGCACCAGCCGTACCCAGACACAACGACGCTTGGAAAAACTACAACGGCAGCAGCGCAAGGCTTCGCGGAGACGGTACCTGCAAGCCGTAGCACCTCGTCTCGAAATCCTGCAGAACATGCCGTTCTTCATACCCTTCACCACCCGCGTTCAGATCTTCCGCGAGTTTGTCAAACTAGATATGATCAAGCGACGAGGATCTGCGGATCCTGAGTTCTGGCGGTTCCGGACCATGCAGCAGCCAAACGCTCGCAGCCAACTCGAGAAACATACGGCACGGATCAGGAGAGAGAACGAGTTCGATGATGCTTTCGAGCAATTCTATGAACTGGGTCAGGGCTTGAAGGAACCAATCCAGATTACCTTCATGGATCAGTTCGGCGCTCCTGAGGCCGGCATCGACGGAGGTGGTGTCACGAAAGAGTTCCTCACCAGCGTCACCAACCGCGCGTTCATGCCGACTGAGTACATCGACATGTTTGTTGAGAATGACCAACATCTCCTTTACCCCAACCCCGCAGCAGTTGAAGAACACAAAGAGGCCCTTCGCCAAGCCGGCATACGCGAGGGTTCACAAGAGTACCGAGCCCAGATCACTGAGTTGCTTCAACGCTACGAGTTCTTGGGACGCATCATCGGCAAATGTCTGTACGAAGGTATCCTAGTCGACGTAAACTTCGCACCCTTCTTCCTGCGCAAGTGGGCACTAACCGGCGGCACGGGCTCCGCCCCCAACGAATCCGGCTACCGCCCCACGCTCAACGACCTCCGCGATCTAGACGAAGAGCTATACCAAGGCCTTCACAAGCTCAAAACCTACCCCGGCGACGTCGAAGACTTCTCCCTCAACTTCACCGTCACCGACACCGTCATCGTAGACCACACGACCTCGCCCAAGAAAACCAAAGCCATAACCAAGGACCTCAAGCCCGACGGCTCAAACACCCCCGTCACCAACCAGAACCGGCTTGTGTATATTAGTTACATGGCCCGCCACCGCCTGCAAAACCAACCCTACGCCCAAACCACCGCTTTCCTCCGCGGCCTCGCCACCATGATCCAACCCTCCTGGCTCTCCATGTTCAACCAATCAGAACTGCAGACCCTCATCTCCGGTACACGCACATCCATCGACATCGAAGACCTGCGCCGCAACACCATCTACGGCGGCACCTACGTCATCGGCGACGATGGACTCGAGCACCCCACCATCCAACTCCTCTGGAAGGTCATGAAGGAGATGACCGATGATGAGAGGCGTGCGGTGCTGAAGTTCGTGACGAGTACGCCCCGCGCCCCGCTGCTGGGCTTCGGTACGCTGAATCCGAGGTTCAGTATTAGGGATGCGGGGAGGGATCAGGATAGGCTGCCTAGTACGAGTACGTGTGTTAATTTGCTGAAGTTGCCGATGTATGAGGATGAGAGGACGCTGAGGGAGAAGTTGCTGTATAGTGTTTTCTCTGGGGCTGGGTTTGATCTGAGTTAGGGGGTTGAGGGTGAGACTTGTGGCTGCAGGGGGATATTGCGCGGTTGAGGTCGTCGAAGTTGATAGATTTGCATAGCATGGTATTATGGGCTATTATGAAATAGACTTGCATGACGCATGTGTACCATTTGACTACAACATGATTGCTCTTGAATCTTGTGTATGTCCGCCACCAAATTCGGGCCGCGCAACGAATGTAGGTTGGTGGCCGCGTTCCAAAGCGAGAATCGAATGTGAATGCGGTAGTGAACTTCGCGAAGCGACACATTGGCAGGTTGGACATACTGACGTGGAAGGCGGATAAGGGTCCACCACGTACCATGGGAACCAGGTGAAGGCACAATTCACCTCTTTCTATACACACGATCACCGCAATAAAACCAACCACCATACATCTAAACACCTTCCTCATTCTGATCTTGCAAAATCTTACTATTTACACCACTCAATCTTACATTTCTCATAAATCTCACACATCCCACTAGCACTTAACCCACACATACCACACCACCATCTCTTACCCACAATGGACAGCAACGGCCCCGGCTCCCCCCGTGCAATCGCCAACTTCATCATCACCAAACTCACCGACGCTACGATCTACGTCCAAGATCTTATCGAGGCGAAGGCTGAAGCTGAGAGGCGCCGTGTCCAAGAGGAGAACGACGCGGTATCGAGGGAGGCGCGCAGGCGCGTTATGGAGTATGGGGATGCGGATGAGTCGTTGATGGGGGATCGGGAGGCGGAAGAGGGGAGGAGGAGGACGTAGGGGTGAGTGGGGGGTGGAGGGGGGTGGTGGAGTATGGAGGAGGAGGCGGTGGGTGTGTGGATGCGGTATCGGTATCGGCATGAACTTTTGGTGAAGGGTTATTGAGCGGAGTGGAGTCGGTGATGGTCGTGAACATCTTGATGCCCACATGGATATATTCACGAAAGTTATGGAAGACCTAGGGCCTGATACACGGAATGATATCAACGACCAACATTCAAGTTATGTAACTACTCACTATGTCGTAATGCGCATCATTCCCATATCAACGTCTTGTCTCTACACATGGCCACAGCAACTCGTCGCTCAGTCAAACAACAATCTTTCCCCATATTGTCATTCATACAGCATCCTCAAACCCCTCCCAAAAAAACCTCACGTACAAAACCTCGCCCCCGCCCGCACCATCACAGAACGTCCCCCGGTACCTACTACAGTCCAGCACCTAACAGCACCTGTAGAGCTACACAGACAGTGATGCCAAGAAGGAAAGCCCTGTATAGACCCGTGATCAAGTCCATAGCAGCGATATCTCCGCCTAGACCGAGGAGCGCTTGGTATGATGCTGTTATGGCCATGCAGCCGTAGATTATTGCGATTGCTTGGGAGAATGTGAGACCAGTGCGGTTGTGTGGAAGAGTAGGTGGTTGGGATATTGTTGTTGTGACGGAGCTGAAGGAGCTGAAGGAGAGATAGGTGGAAACGGGCGTGATATCGAGATCCTGGCGTGTTGGCTGGGGAGCCACGTTGATGGCAGGGGTGATGGGCGAGAACGAGAGGTCCGTTCGATTGCTGGCTCGAGATAAGCGCTTCCGAGTTGGTTTCTTCATGGGCGGCGGTTCGACTAGCGAAAAGACACGGCGATTCGGAAGTTTTGGTAAAGGCTTATCTGGATCCGATGGATTGGCGAGGAGTGCATTCTTACTGCGGCGCGGAACACCGACGTCGGAATAACTTTCTCTCGGCCTACCTCCATCCCTCTTACGCTGTGAACCATCAAAGGGCGATTGAGTACGTCCAGCCGCCTCCCTCGCCTTCACCCTCGCAAGTACATCCCTAACACTCGCCGGAACCACATACCCAAACTCCTCTTCTTCATCATCCGATGCCACCGACAGCGTCTTAGGCGACACATACCCTCCACGACGCGCATCAAAGCCCCTCCCAGCCCACTTCGCCTCCCTCTTCGAACTACTTCGCCGCGCAAGATCTCTAGCCAGCTCTACCCTACCCTTCTCAAACTGCTCCCTTAACGCATCTTCAGCAGTCTCCGTCTTCCTCCCAATACGTTCCTTCGCCTTAGGTGAAAACCTCCCCGGTGTATCTTCCTCAACCCCCATCGTCGTTATACCACCAGGCGTACACACCAACCCCTCAGCATTATCCGCGCTAACCCTACTCGCCTCGATAGGTGGCTCAGGAAGACCCGCTTCCGCCCACTCACCAGTCGGGGTACGCGACGAACGCTTTCGTAAATTTCGTATGTTTCGTTCGTTCGAGGTTGAAGGAGGGCGGGCGCGACGTACGTTGCGTTGATGTTGGATAGGCGTGCGACCGAAGAGTTGGGCGCGGTCGAGGTAGCCTGAATGCGTGGATGTTGATTGATGGAGGTTTGCTCTTCTGGAGTCTGATAGGGGGTATAGGGATGGTGATGGCGATGTGCTAACATCACCGTGTCCATGACCGCTCAGAATAGGATCATACGACCGCCGCGAGTATCCTGGTGGTGATGACCCCAAGGCTGGTGACGTGTACTTGTCGACAATGCCGGTGATGTTCCGCGATGCTGAAGTCGTAGTCTTATTACTACGGGAGCTGGCCATGTTGTAATTCCAAGGTCGAACAGAAGTAGGGGGCTGAAGCCGGAGAAATGACCGTGAGGAAGTTGAGTTGGCTGCAGTGATTGCCACAGCTTGACGGTACATAGTGGATTGTCCTCGTTTCGCGACCTTTAGGAGAATATGCAGAGGACTGGGCTCAGAAACTCGCCACTGCTCATTTGGCCATCGCCGGGTGAAGGCTGGTCTTCACACTGGTGACATGAGTGAATACATCGCAATCGCGATTTCCTTGTTCAATTCACCAAGGTTGGGGTGTAAGACCTCCAAGAGCGTACCCGGCAACTCCATCTGGATCGCAAGCTGCTTGAGCGCTTCATCAATCTACCTCTTTCTGTCCGTCATCTCCACACACCACTTTCGCATAATCTAGGCGCCACGTGGTCAATAGCTCGCTGTATTCGCTAAGCTAAAGTATTCCTAATATTGTACATGACCAATGAAGCGAAACCCTCCAACGAGAGGGAAGAGGTCGAACGAACGCCATTCACCTCATAAATAACGTGCTTTTATGCACATCCATCATTCCCATCCCGCTAACTACGCAGGTATGGGAGCGGGAGGTTCTGGGCCGTCACCACCATCACCCCTTGGTCTTATCGCCGTGGGAAGTGGGTTATCTGGGATTTTGATGGGCGCGTCAGGCAAAGCCTTCAGCCGGCCAGGAAGATCCTCGCCCTTGATAACCTTCATGATCTCCTTCTTGTCCAGCGTCTCGTACTGCACAAGCGCATCGGCTAATCTGTCGAGCTCCTTGCGCTTCGACAACAGCAGCTCCTTCGCATCCTTTCTTGCCTCATCGATCAGCTTTCGCACCTCGTCGTCGATGATACGCTTGGTCTCGGGTGCGACCATCTCGTAATTAGATTTGTAGTCGACGTTGCCGAGCTTCTCCGAGAAGCCGCACTGAGTGACCATCATGTACGCTATCCTCGTTGCGTTGGAAATGTCGCTAGAAGCTCCGGTGGATACATTCTCCTCGCCATATACCAGCTCTTCGGCAATCTTGCCGCCCAGAGAGACCTGCAGTTGGCGTATGTATTGTTTGCGAGTGTGGTGGCCCTCTTCTTCCGGAAGGAAAAAGGTGATACCGGCAGCGTGACCTCTGGGAAGAATAGTCGCCTTGTGCAGATCGTTGAAACCAGGCTTGTAGAGACCAACGAGCGCATGGCCACCCTCGTGGTAGGCAGTGTGAATCTTGTCCTTGAGCGGTACGGAGCGGCTCTTCCTTTCTGCGCCCATGCTGATCTTATCCTTGGCCCACTCCAAGTCGTCGAGAGAGACGAACTTTGCCTGAATCTTAGAAGCACGGATAGCTGCCGAGTTGGCGACGTTCTCTAGCTCGGCACCGGAGAATCCGGGTGTGCCACGGGCGATGGTAGAAAGGTCGATATCGGGAGAGAGGCGGATCTTCTGAGTGTGGTACTTGAGGATAGCCAGTCGGCCACCTACATCAGGGAGTTCAACCTGGACATGACGATCGAAGCGCCCGGGGCGGAGCAGGGCTTCGTCGAGAGACTCGGGGTGGTTGGTGGCAGCAATGAAGATGACACCACTGCTTTGGTCGAAACCGTCGAGATCGTTGAGAAGCTGGTTGAGGGTCTGGCGGTGGTAGCTGGCGTCGCGCGACCTGCGCTTTCCGCCTATGGCATCAAGTTCGTCGATGAAGACGATGGCAGGCGCCTTGCCTCGAGCAGCAGTGAAGAGTTCGCGGACACGTTTGGCTCCGACACCAACGTAGACTTCGTCGAATTCCGAACCGGACATGTAGAAGAAGGGAACGCCGGCCTCTCCTGCGCAAGCACGAGCAAGCAGAGTTTTACCAGTACCAGGAGGGCCAACTAGGAGTACACCCTTGGGGAGTCTGCCGCCGAGCTTGTTGTACTTGTCCGGGTTCTTGAGAAAGTCGACAACATCGGTGAGCTCTTCCTTGGCCTCGTCGCAACCGTGGACATCGCTGAAGCGGGTGTTCTGCTGCTCGGGGCGGACTTCGGCGTTCTCTTTACCGCCAACGCCCTTCTTGAGGACGCCGCTGGTCTCGACGAAGAGAGTGATGAGGATCAGGGAGACGTAGGCAGCCAGAGCGAAGCCGCAGATCCAGCGGACCCACTTGAAGATAACATTCATCAGAGACTCTTCGACAACGACGTAGACGGGGTCGGCCTTGACGCCAGCGCCGCCCCTGGTCTTGGCAACCTGGGCACCGCCAGCGTTTGCGCCGATGGCCTGGGTAATCGCCTGACGTTGGTTTGCAGTGAGCCCTGAGTGTTCGCCGCCGTCCTGTCCCGTCTTTGCCAAGGCGTTGTTGTACATCTTGTCAATTGTAGAGTTGGTGGCGAAGCGTCCTGTGTTGTACCGGTCGATGATGATCTGGTGGTAGTTGCCGCGCAGCAGAGCCGAGTAGAAGGAAGCCTGTGCGGAGGCGCTCGTAGGGTTGGCATTAGCAGCCTGTTCGAGGCGAGCGAGTTGTTCCTGAGAGGGGCCACCGAAAAGCGAGCGCTGTTGTACGAGGCTGAGTCCGAGCATGCCGGGCTTGGTCAGCTGGCGGAGGTGCGAGAGAGGGCCGTTGCGCGACATGGAAGAGAACTGGCGGGCCCTGAGGGCAGCGACGGGCGATGTCAGGGCGAGGGGATTGCATATTCCGACGCGCGGTACTGCAGAGTGTCAGTGTTGTGCCCCAACTGTGCCTCGTTGCAACTAACCTGAACGTGAAGACGAAGATGCGGTGGTGAGCTGCCTGACGCCGGCAGCCGTGGGCATGCGGCCCAGGGCCTGCCACGGGGAGCGCAGGACAGTAGACATGGTGGGCGACAGTTGCGACGTGACAGAAGCGACCTTCTATATCCAAGTCAGTAGGGGTTCAATGACGCGATGTCGGAACTCGTGGCAAAACGCACCTGGGCAGCGCCGGCCGCGTGGAGGGCCATGGTGAAGAATGCGCAGCGCAGCGGCCGCAGGAACTATAACAAGTACCAGATGAACGAAAAGGAATAGGCGCGCGTGGGCGGTGGATTGGGCGTGGCGGCGAGAGGCCACGGAAAGCTAGTCGTCACGTCTATGGAAAGTGGCAGAATGGGCCAGTGCTGAGATGCATCTAAGTTCCGAGACCCTTGCATCTGTCGTGTGCTTGGCGATATGGCGGAACTCGACCTTGCGCCACCATCTGGGTCAATTCACCGCCACTGCTGATTACATAGGTGTCCTGTAGAATGTTTTGCGGCCTTTGTCATCGCATCTATTCACGTGCAGCATGTTGCAGCGGCGTCTACTTCCGTGATGCGCCCCAGGGCTTAATGCGATTGGCCTATGACGTAGAGGAAGCAAGTGCAACCGATCAATCTCGACTGTACGATTGACTGAGAAATCCACATCTGAAGTCGCGCATGCGGCTCTCAGGGCCGTTGAGTTCCATGTTGGAGAAGACATAGTTCCAGAGTCGCGGCGCACCTCGGCTGGCGGGGTAAAGAGCCTCATAGCTTGGAGCGCTGCATGTCTAGATCATATACATTGTCTCGCGTTTGATAATACAGGATCACGACCATGGCATCGCCAAGATGGAAGAAGCTATACGAATACGCAGCATGTGATGTACGCTTACCTTGTCCATACCCAGATTCGTAGCTAAACTCTTGTAGCTCGCTGATGGCCTACTGAAGCTACATGTACCAGGCGCGGGCTTCCTCGCTGATATCAGTACGATCAATTGAGACATTGAATCACGTCACTCGTTAACGTCGCCAGGGCCGCTGCTTCATACATCCAGCATTCCCAAGCCTGAACTTCAGAAGGTCCTCGCGCCCGCATCGACCTTCCTTATGATTCCGAAAGCGACCAAGTCTTTCCCAAACCCTCCCAAGATGGCGGATAGCATTCCAGCTTCCAATCTCACAGACTCCCGGCCCTACGCGGACTACACTGAGAGCGGCACCATTGTAGTCATCAGCCAGCCTCCAGGACAGTCGTGCGCCGTCGTCGGCGGTATCATGGCGGCTCGCATGCAGCATCTCGGTGCAGAGGGTATTGTCGTCGACGGTCGGGTGCGGGACATCACCGCGCTGAACCAGACGCAGCTGCCTATCTGGTCCAAAGCGACGTCTGTCATCGGCGCAGGAGCCGAGACCAAGTTTCATGCGCACAATGTGCCCGTGAGAATCGGCGAAACGGTGGTCGAAGCCGGCGACATCATCATGATTGACCCGTTCGAGAATGGCGTAGTCGCGGTGCCACAGGGCAAGGTGGACGAACTGCTCGACCTACTACCGAAGCTGATCGAGGCGGACGAGAGGGTGATTGCGGACGTGGGACGCGGAGTTAGCGTGGAGGATGCGTTCAAGAGACATAGAAACTAGTCATGTCTCTACTACAATATAAAACCATATTATTGAAGGAAGACACGGCGGATGTGATCGCAAAGTGAAGAGACCACTGAGAGCCCTCAGAATTACATGACGCCGCTAACCATTTCGCTGGCCCGTGCACCGCCCATTTTCGCGATCCCGGCATGACACCTCTCGCAGCTCTCGTTTCCCATCGCCCAACACCTCCGCTACCACCCGCACCCCAACTCGAGGACCCCCAATTGCCCCGGAGCCACCACAATGGGTATCACCGACTTCTTCTCCGACGTCTGGGAGACCTTCTCCCACCCCTCGGCCGACGCCGAGGGCCAACCGCCCGTCCAAGGTGGCACCAGCACCCAGACGCCTGCGTCCGGCACCGACGAGGAGAGCGGCGACGAGGCCGAGGTCAACAAGCAGGATGCGAAGAAGGGCGGCGACTCGGGCGAGCAGGGACACAAGCCGAGCGGCGATGACGAGGATGAGCCTGAGGAGGAGGAAGAGGACGAGGAGGAGCCCGACCCAAAGGAGAAGCTTGAGCAGGGTGAGTTATCCCGGACTACGAATATGGCAATCCAGCGGCCTCGAGAGACCCATTGCGTGTCTGGAAGGCTTCGGCTTTGGTCGGACGTGTCGACAAGAAGCCCACCGTATCCGACACAGCCCGATACCAGACACACAGCGCCACCGCAGACGGAACAGTGACTAACCATCCCATGCAGAATGCGCCGAGTCCAAGGAATGCCACGGCCCCAAGCACCACTACGACGAGTGCGCCCAACGGGTAACAGGCCAGATCGAGAACGACGGCAAGGCCAGCGAGGACTGCGTTGAAGAATGTACGTCAACCCACCTCTCACTATCACCACAACATCTAACCCGCCTCCAGTTTTCCACCTCGCCCATTGCGCATCCCAATGCGCCGCCCCCAAGCTCTTCGCCCAGCTCAAGTAAACAGACCGACCCCCGCCGATCCTCGTCCTCCTACGAGCGAATACCAGTACAACGTTGGTACATGACATGTAGTAAGAACGTAGCCGTTTCGGAATGGAATGAATGCAAGCATCAAGACATGTCACATGCGTGGATGACTGTACATATTAGAAGTCGTGTTTAGAATATCACTGTACTTCTATCTCCCGATCCAAATCAAGACATTGCACAACATCATGAATGACTGACGCAAAGTATCGTCTTGATTGATAATACGCGGACAGGAATCCCGTTTACAATTACAATGAAAAAGACGAACCAAGGAAACCAGTTCCCCACCCAAGATAAACCCGAAAAGACAAGGTAAGAAAACCTAGCCTGCAAAGAAACCCTAGTCGTCGTCATCATCATCCTCGTAATCGTCACCAGAATCCATGTCCCCAAGGAGTCATTGCTCGTGTCCCTGCACGCCCTCGCCAGACCCCTCTTCCGCGACAACAACGCTATCGCCATCGACATCCTTCTTCAGCCTTCCCTCTCTACTAGCGAGGCCCAGTCGCTTCACACCCAACATAAGCGGCAATGGCAGGACCACCGCACAAACCACAGCCTGGAAGACCAACGCCCAAAGCATATGTCCAGGCGGCCTGTTCCCACCCGTAGCCTCATCCCTGCCCGCGTCCTGTACGGCGTCCAGATCCACGGGTCTCCCATCTTTGAGCTCGTTCATGATGACGATGAAGATGCCGCCGAAGACTTGTCCTCCGACCCAGCAGATGGTGGAAGAGACTTCCGGACTAGCTGGGAAAGTGATCTCGACTAGGTACTCCAAAGCGATCGGTAGCAGGGAGAATGAACATGCGCCTAAGACTGCACCGAGCACATACGGCGCGACGATCGTCCTCGTTTGCGGCGCCCATATCATCGCTAGATAAGCTGCCGACAGCACGGGACACAGGATCTTGATGCCGAGGAGGTAGGCGTGTGTGCGGTCTATGATGGGAGAAGTGATGGCGCAGGCTACCAGTCCAACAACGATGAGCACCGCGCCACAGATACCCGCTTCGTCTTCGGTGTAGCCGTATGGATACAGGATCTGGTTTAGCAGCGAGGTGAAGGCGTTGAAGAAGCCGGTGTAGACGCTGAATGTGAAGAAGACGAGGTAGAAGGCGGGGGTGCGTAGCATGTGCTTGAGGGAGGTCATGATTGACGTTTTGGAGACGACAGAGGAGGCTGAGGGGGGTGTTGGTGGTGCTGCGGGGATGAAGAAGGACTGTGTGGTGTTAGTTAGTTATACGATGTAGACGAAATGTTGGGTATGAGAGGATGTACCGGGAGGCACGCGACGGTTGCGATGCACGATACTATCAGCACCGTAGTTGGCACATCGCCCAAGAACGGGTTGATAAGAGACGCAAGCTGTGTCTTGTTAGCCACCGTTTCCTCTCTTCTTCCCGCATTATACTTACCGCTGCCCCAAAGGGATTCGCCAAACTAGCCACCGCCGTTGCACCAATTCTTCCTCCCTCAGTAAACCACATATCGCTATACCGCGTCGGAGCCGCCAGCACAAATGGTTGCGCTAGCCCCGTCAAGATCTGGCCCACCATGACTACAGGGAAGATGTTGGTCCTGGTACCCGCATACCGGATCCAGTTGCCGATCAGCAGCAAGATGGATGCGGCGATGATGGATGGTTTGGGGCCACGGTGAAGCAAGTAAATCGTTAATGGACATGTTGCAGCGAAGGAGAAGAGGAAGGCGGTTGAGAGCCAGTTAATGGATGATTCCGGGACTCTGAAGTATTGCGATGAGGTTGTTGATATGGGGGCGAATGTTAGCCACTAGGTCGTTATGTTAGTTACAGTCGTCCTTCGCAGTTTCTTGGTGCTCAAGAATGATGTTCATGCGATGTTGTCCCAACACCACTGATCGACAACGCAGGGCCATGCTCAAAGTCCGGAACGGAAGACCCTTTCGCAACACCCGCGGAAGCAAACAACGGAACGGGCGACGGGTGTCAGGTGTCAACTTACATCCCAACTAACAACAATATTCAACAACACCAACTGGCCCAGCCCGAGCCATCGTCTCTTGTAGACCTTGTAATGCGTATGGCTATAACTCTCTTTCTTCTTCCCCAGCCCAAACCTCCTCCTCTTGCGTCTTGGCGGCTGTTGGTGTGCTTCATCCACTCCGTTCTCTGGATCGGCGGTACCATCTCTTCCAAAGTCGACTATTCTCATGTTAGAGGACCCGCTTACTTCGTCGTCTTCGGGTGGGACGTCTTCCGAAAGATGCGCGGCGTTCTTAATCATCGAGTCGTTCGTTCGGGTGTGCGATAAGTCGGCCATTTTGGGTTCTGCGGACGGCTTCAGTCCATGGACGGCGCGGAGCGCACAAGAAGGTGTCCGTCTGTTGATGAATCTGGGCTGGGATATAGATAACGCTGCAAGCCGCTGCGAGGAGAATAGCTCGGAAGATACGGAACCCCAACGTCCCAGACGCGCGCCTTAAGTCGATGCAGTTGTTGATGTTGTTCTTATCGGTTCCGCGTCGCAGTCGCACATGTCAAAGCCGGGCGCTCCCTTCCAAGGTTGTCGCACGGTCTATTGGCGTGGGCTAAACAGTCGCGACCTGATGAGGCAAGGGGTACGCCAACCGGGTGGTGCGGGACGGACTTGCCGTCTTATTAAGCTAGTCGGCCGCCACATTGGGCCTGCAGGTGGGTGAACTGTATCGTGGGAACTAGCCTTGCGCATTGTTGTCGCTGGGGTACGGGAGTCGGCTGATGCGTGCGCACTGGGAAAGATACTGCTTTTGGAACAACAGAGGTGTTAGGCGAGGCGGGGTTCAATGGGATCGGCATCGCGACTGCGAGGGGGGTGATAAGATTGTGGGAGAGGAAGCTTGTGCGTGCATCTCGACGTTTACTTTTCAGCGCACAAGAGATTTAGCAAAGGGTGAGCGGATAAGGTTTATTCGAGCCTGAAATGACTGAGCTAATTGGGGGCTCAGATCTGGCTCGCTTCGCCATTGCATGTTGACCTGGCAGGCACGCAGGGTGTCGCCGGAAGGAAGCACTCGGTAAGCTGCTCCAAGCTCCCACTTTGATGAGGCTTGAGGCAACAACCACCCACGATGGGTGTGCATGCCAACAAAGCCAAGCCAATCCCCGCCCACCTTGTTTACAAGCCTTTACCGCATGCGAGCGAGTACCTGCGTATTCTCAGCCTGCACGCTGGCAACGAATGGGAGCCTATTCGATGTAGCCTGCGTCCAGTCAGCTTCCACGAGAAGCCGCATTATGACGCTCTGTCATATACCTGGGGCGACCCCAACGCCACGAAGCTGATTGAGGTCGACGGCGTCGCAGTCGAAGTTACTTTCAACCTCGAGCAGGCGCTCCGGCATATGCGCGACCCCGAGAACGAACTTCCACTGTGGGTAGACGCTGTTTGCATCAATCAGTTGGACGCGACGGAGAGGTCGCACCAAGTGGCCCTTATGGGCAAGATATATTCCGGATGCGCCCAAGTACGGATTTGGCTAGGCTGCGATGCCTCGCAATGCCGCCTTGGCGATGGAACGAATGACGACTCAAAAGGAGCGGATCCATTCGAAATCGTACGGTTGCTGGCAAGTGGTCGCCATGTCTATGAATGGCAATGCTTTGAGCCCCAAGCTCCTGATACAGCTGTCTACAAGCCCGATGACGACTTCAATCTTGTGTGCGAAGGCTTCCTCGCTGTCTATCGAAGCCCTTGGTGGACACGTTTGTGGACCGTACAAGAAGCCATCCTACCAGGGACAGGCACTTTGTACTTTGATACATGGACGACATCGCTTCAGACGGTCACCGATTGCGGGTTATACTACGACCAACATGCCTGGAAGCCATGTTGCAATCACCCCGTATCACAAATGCCTATTACAATGATCAATGCTCTAAAGGACTTCTGCACCATGACTCGGAGCCTTCATTATGATCGAAAACGCGATGGCAGCGGCAAGCTCAAGCGACATGACCTACAAACACAACATGTAGTATACGGGTTTCGAGCGTGTGAGGACCCGCGCGACAAGGTCTACGGACTGTTGGGCGTCATTGATGACCGATTCTTCACCCCGGATTACACTTTGTCTAAAGAGGAGGTTTTCCTTCAGGCTACTTACACGATGCTTTGTCGCGAACGGGGGTTCTTGAAGAGTCTGACAGGCCCTCAATATGGCCCAGCGCCGGACAAACTGGCGTCCTGGGTGCGGGACTTTGATGCGCCTTGCGATCGCATGGACGTCGATGTAGTTTTCGATCGGCACAAGCTATTTGATGATGGCGTCTTCAATGCTTCCGACGACCGCAGATTCAGACCTGTATTGCTAAAGGCTTCTCCACGTTCGTCGGGTGAGGCGGTAAGACGAGTTGGGCTTGAGGTCATAGGCAGGCGTGTAGGCAAAGTTACCTTTGTATCCGAAGACGTACAGACCTTAATATCCCCGACAGACGATGCTGACATCAGACATAAAGACGTCTTCAAGAGATGGATGTTATCCGCGCTCAACTCGAGTGCGTTTGACACGTTAGCTCGCATTAGTGAGCAGAACAATCTCTATAGACAGCCAAATTCCGTCATAGCGTTTTGGCGAACGATGCTTGGTGGATTGGACATTCCAGTCGATAGAGAAGGCCACGCGTGGGATCTCAAATCTAGTCCTGCAACTAGTCCCGCAACGATGCGTTGGCTCGAGCACTTTCTTGCATGGGTGCAAGGAAAAGAGGATACGATCAATGCCACACTATGCCATATGATCTCCGTCACAACACATGGACGTCGTTACTTCAAGACCGGAAGCAATGGTCAGGGCCTCTGCTATCCGCACGTTCGTGTCGAGGACGAGGTATGGGTTCTAGGCGGTGGAAACGTACCGTTCATCCTGCGGCCCGCGCATTTGAGCAAAGAAGAAAGAGAAGCGCTCAAACCTGTAGATACGGATGGAGTCCGGAGCGATGGTGACATTGACTTCAGTGGTGACTGTCATTTGGAAAAGCCGCCTGAAGGCTATTACGAGTTCATCGGCGACTGTTATTTCGACGGATATATGCATGGGGAAGCCGTTCGAGACAGCACCATTCGTGAACAGTCCATCGTGTTAGTTTAGTTTGAAAGGATTGTTGACACACTGGTCCAGGAAGAAGAAAGCACGTCATAGCGGAAAGCTAATACGGTGACGGCTGGGCGTCAGGTCGCAGATATGTAAGTGACGATGTTTGCGCAACGAAGCAGCGCCTGGTCGTATGTCGAGCTATGACGAATACGCAGGCGTTATCTACTGCAGCGTCCAATCTGCGACCTCCCCGACCCCCTCACCACATCACCATCTGCGAGGGTATCCGATACCAAGATGTATTCTTATTCATGTAGCTGTCAGCCTTCGTTGCGGAAGCCTAGGTATGCTTACGACCGCTACCAATCGGAACATGAACTATCACCATACTGTTTGAGTCATCTACCCGCTATGTAACTGCACATCACAGCTCTGAGCGACGCGTTCGATAGCCTCAGCGAGTACCGCAACCATCATCATGCGCACCTGGTCAAGCAGCTGCTCGCCCATGCCTGTAGCCACACTAACCACGAAGCACACAGGCGCCAGCAGCACGTCGCGCTCGACCTTCTCAGTCCAGCACAATTGACGCAGCAGAGCGGCGTAAACCCCCATAAAGATCGCCGATTTCCAGAGAGTAAGAAGCAGAGTCTTCGGTCCTAGAAGAGATGCGCTGAGGAAGGCAATCGCGTACATGGCCATGACACCAAACTGAATGTCTCGTTCAAGCTGTGCATTTGAGATCTCGAATGGACCGATGGTGAGGCGCTCCGGGAAGTCGCCGATCTTTCCATCGTCCCCGATCATCCGCTTAGAGACATTCGCTTTGGCGAGGCCGGCCGCGTCGATCTTAATGACGAGGGTCAGTGGGGCTATGTTGTTGACCGTGGCATCGGCGTCGCCTTGTCGCTCCCGGTTGTGCTCGGCCAGCGCTTCGGCGATCTTGCTAGTGACATACTCGCGGATGCCTTGACTCAGCGAGCTGTCGTCGTCGAAGATGTTAGACGCGAAAGACTTGCGGGGGCTGGGTTCGTCTTCATCCTTAAGCGTGGAGTAACCGTGTTCGTTGGCGGTGTCGATGAGAAGTGGGGGTTGCGGCGATATACGAGCAGTCTTGAGGAAGTCGTTTGTGCGCTTGATGCTGGTGATCTTGTACTGCACCAAGTTGGGGTCTTCGACGGGGCCGCCGTGCTGGGAGTAACCGGGACTATCTGCAAGCTTGTTGGTGAGTGCGTTGACATCGTGAGCAACTTGACGCACCAGGCGATATCTGACGCCCTGCGGATTCCGCGAACCATGCATCTTTGACATGGCTGCTGTTCGCGTCTGTTTCGGTGTTAGCATGTAGTATCGAAGCGCCCTGGGTAGACACTTACTGTCCATGGCCTCTGCGATCTTGTGGGAAGAACCCAATGGCAACCCGCTTCGCTTCTCTGCACCGCCAGCTGTACGCGGAGAGGTATCCTGGCTCTTGGCGACCTCAGATCCAACGGAGTTACGGCCTGCCTCCTCAGCATGGCGTTTTGGAGACGCACTTTCAACTGCTGTAGAGCCAATCGTCTCACCATCGCCAACCTCGGTCTCACCAAGTCCCTGTAGACTGTGCATGGACTGCTCGCTGGGTAGGAGACCGATTTGTTCGTATCCTGGGCGCACATATGGCGACGCCAACGGGCTAGAGGCGACGAGCGGAGGCGACTTTTGCAGGGTAGCGGGACTGGACGATGCGCTCGAGCTTGATTGTTGTCTGAACAGTCCGCGGAAGCGGCTCGGCTTTCGATCGGTTTTTGGTGTCGCGTTGGCGGGACCGCTGAGGCGAGCCATGTCGATGACTTTAGCGTTGACAGGCGCTTCCTTTGGTGTTGCGGATGACATCTGGGGGAAGTAGAGTGAGTGGAGGGGAACGGGCTGCGGAGTGTTGTGGCCGTTGTCGCGCTTTGCTAAGCGAGAGTCGCAGTGAAGGTGAGTCCGCACGGATCCAAACGCGTCGACACTTCACCCAGTAATCTGGTATGACGTTCGGTGCTGTTATGAGTCTTTTCCTCTTCACTAAACTGCGCAAACAATCTCGTGGTGGTGTTTGATGATGCGCAACCACCTGATTGCTTCCCTTCATTCAAGCGAACGATGGCGAATTTCGGTTGTGATAGCATGCGGCTATGTCCCTGAATTGGATCGCAAGGCTCGGACCTCGCACGATCAAACGCATTTGAGTTTCTTACCTTTCTATTGGCTCAATCGAGGAATGATACAACCACTGGGGCGACCAATGATGGGACGCTTTTGCAAACATTCGGTTTGGAGCGAGGGACTGACAGCAAGCTAGCGGTTCAGTATGCTAGATAGCCCGGTGCTGCGTGTATTCCAACAGGAAACCGCTGGGTTATAATGACTATTGCGCTGACCGGCGGTGTGTTGCAGTCGATCTTCTAACCTTCAACGATATGCCTCGTCTTCGTCTCTAAGAAGGAGGCCCAGGTACTAAGGGAACAGAGAAAGCGTGATGGCCGAAGAGGTAAGAGTGAACTGTCGACATCGTGTTTGGTATCGACCGAGCGGCGGATGCGTGACCCTCGTGGAATGCGCATTCCGTACGATGACGTTATCTCCAGGAGCCCTCCTGTCGATCGAGACCGTAGGCAGCTGTCGCGCAATGTTTAAAAAGGTGACTTGCCGTGAACGAAGTCAGAGGAATCCACCGTCGTAGGACTCTGGTTTGAGGATGGCTGAAGGATGCGTGCTCTTCCAGAGTGTCAAAGTTGCGGAGTGACCCGCCAAGGAGACCTCGACGGGTGGCTCCGGCGATGGCTCGTGCACCTTCTACGCGTCTTCCGCGCCGGTGCATGCAGGCGCGCCCTTGACCCTCATAAACATGAGGTCGCATTCAACAGCAATTGATACCGACAATGAGTTCACACTCAAAGCCGCTCCCCGACATGTTAATCGACGCCACGCCTGTAAGCCCTCACGAGAGGCATACCGTCAAGCATGGGCATGGAAAGCAGCCCATGTCATCGTCTTCCTACGTTGCGTCATGGGCATGACATAGCGACGGTATAAAACGCTCTTCTCGGGATTGTTGCTTTCGCGAACTACACCCCACAATATGCGGTATCTAACGCGTAACGTCGAGACCCGCTTGGCGCCAGCACGGTACTCAGCTGCAAAACTCGAATTGCGATACTCCGCGTCTGGCCATCGATCCGGAACAGTCGCGTGCCCTGGTCGCATGGAAGATGAAGTCATCCTTGCTGCTGTTCATCGCAGGCCTCAGCTCAGTAGCTCTGGCTAATGCTGGAACACCTAGCGGAGAAAGCCAAGCCCATGCCACTAGCAACACACCGAACGCCGACGAAGTCCACATCGCTATGGACAATGCGCAAGCCGCGCAAGATCCTTTGATGATGGGTGCGATGCCACCAAGCGACAACGGCGCCTCGCCCCGCCACCGACGGGAGAAGCTACAGCTGCTGAAGAGAATGGACAAGAAGAGCGGTGAATGGGGAACGAGCCACCCGCGTTACAGGCTCCTCGAAGCGCTATGGGCATATACGAGGTACCGCGAACGCCACATGGCTGAGCTGGATCGCTGGCGGAGTATGTACAAGAGCGTCAGCAAGAAGCAGAAGAAGGTCGGTCGCACGTGCGCGTTGTGATACCAGTCGCTCACAATGAAGCAGACATTGGAGAACACCGTCGGCTACACGAAGAAGCTCGATGAACTCGAAGAGCTCATCTACGTGAATGCAGCAGTATCCAAGAGTATAGCAATGCACGCCATGAAGTTCTATGGCATCGGCCAGGAAGAACTGAACGAGCACATGAAGAAGGCAGAGCAGGACAAGCGCCAAGCAGACAAGTTCGCAACAGCCCAAACGTTGAAGCATTACGTACGCGACTGGGCCGACGAAGGTCTCAAAGAAAGAAACGAAGCGTTCCCATGCATACTGAGCACATTGAGCGCCATCAAAGCCGAGTCAGGCGAGAGCGCACCGCTCAAGGTACTGCTTCCAGGCTCTGGGGTCGGCCGGCTAGGCCATGATGTCGCCAATCTCGGAGGTAAGTGTCGCGCGCAAAAGCAGAAGAGCGTCGACTGACGCAGAGACAGGCTTTGAGGTGACGATCAATGAGTGGTCAATGTTCATGAACGTCGGCTACCGGTACATGGAAGCGCAAAAGGATGCGCACGCGGTGACCATACACCCATTCATCGACGGAATGTCGCACCATGCTACGAAGGCCGACATGACCCGGAGTGTAACGGTGCCCAACATCGCCCCCAACCCTGGTGTTCTGCTCGTCGAGGGCGACTTCAACACCGCATTCAACGATCAACCAGGTCACTACGACATCATCGTCACCCATTTCTTCATCGACACGGCGCGCAACCTCATGGCCTATTTCGACACTATCCAGAGGCTACTGAAGCCCGGTGGTAAATGGATCAACTTCGGCCCACTCCTGTACGGCACCGGGCCTTTCGTGCAGCTGAGCTTGGAGGAGATTGTCGACGTTGTTGAAGAGATGGGCTTTGAGTTCGAGGATCTGGGCGACGAGTGCGGCGACCTGACGTTCGAGGGCAAGAAGGTTCGGAGTAAAGAGGCAGAGTACGGGTTCAACCGGAGAGCGTTGACGCGCTACGCATACCTGGCGCAGGTTTGGATAGTGAAGAAGGTGTGAGCTGTCGCGTCGCATCGCGTCGCTCGCCTTGCTGCGCACATATCTCGAGAAACAGTAGATAGTGTATACGCACTTCCGCAACAGCCTATATATATTTACAAGTTGTAATCTATAGTAGATTATCTTAGGTAATCTACTAACCTATATTAGTTAGGCTAAGGTAGCGTTGCTTACCGTGCAGGAATTAATAAACAATTCGTCTAAACAGCTAAGCTATCTAGTATAACTAAGTATAGCGCAGCTTGCGTTAGAGACTCTAGTTACTTAGATAGAACTAGAAAACTATCTACTTTCTTATAATCTTTCTTTCTTTTACTCTAAAATTAATAATTCTTCTATATATCTATATATAATATTTTAGACAAACTCTATTATAAATATTTATTTTATCTTTATTAGTAGTATACTAGCTCTTAGACTTTATACCTTTTTTATATTCTTTCTATTTTTTAGTTACTTAGATAGGTATAGTATATATAAATATACTAAAGCTAGAGATAAAAGCTATTACTAGTACTTTATTAATATATAGCTATCTAAAACTATCTACTATCTTTCTAAAAAGAATAGTAATCTAGAATTCTATAATACTAAGAATAAAAAAGAACACTATTAGCGTAAGACTAAGAAGAAAGTAGACTAGTACTTTACTTTTTATAGAAAATTTTAGAAAAAGTTTTATAATTAGTAATTAGATAAAATAGAATTAGATAAAATAAAAAAAAAAATTATAAAAAGAGAAGAAAATTAGCTAAAGTAGTAGTAAAAGAATTAGACCTTAGAGAGCGTAATAAGGTAAAGAATACTAATAAAGTATAATTTTTAGAAACTTTATAAGTAAAGTTATAATATATATCTAATAAGTTTATAGTAATATATCTTATATATTTTTCTACATCTTATCTATTTATAAGCTAGTATTATAATATTAAGTTATAAAATAATAGTCTAAAGTATATCTTAGTGTAGTAGTATATATATTATTATAAAATAGCTAATATATATCTATAAGAATATAAGTAAACTAAAGAGAAAGCTAAAGCTAGAGAAATAAAACTATAGATTAAAAAGTTAATCTAAAGTTAAGAATATATATTCTAGTAGTTTTTTTATATAAATAGTAAAATTATTAGAATATATTTAGTAAGCTATATATTATTAATAGCTCTTAGTAGATAGTAGCTAAAAGTATAATATTTAGATATTATTATAAAAGTTATAAGAAATACTAATATTTATCTATTATAGTATATATAATTATTAATATAGAGATTACTTAGCTAAAAAGTACTACTAGTACACGTAGTGTATAGATTTACGTAATATTCTATCTCTATAATAATATATTTTTAATATATTATAACTTTACTAATTAGAGTTAGATTTAAAAAGTAATTAAAAAAATAATTTTATATATAGTAAAGTTACTACTAAGTATAGTTCTTAATATAGTACGCTTATTTAAAGAAACTAAAGTTTAATAAAACTTTATAATATTATATTAATTTATACTATCTATACTACTACTTATATATCTAGTTATATCTTTACTTTCTTTATAGTCTAACTCTTAATCTTAGTTTTAATAGATATAGTAATAGGTTAAGCGCGTAGACACTTATAGCTAATATAGTTAATAAAATTAGTTAATATCTTAAGAAGAGATAATATAATATAATACACTTAACTAGAGAGCTTAATATAAATAATATAACTAATAATCTTACTAGTAGTTAGACTATTTAAATTTATAATATAAAATTCTAGTATAATTCTAGTATAATTATAGCTATAATTCTAAATAGTGTTACTTTAGTTAGTAAAGCTTTTTAAGTATCTTAAGTTATAGATAGACTAAAGAGTACTTATATACTTTATAACTAGACTTTTATTTTATTATTTCTAAATATTAGCTCTAGTACCTTAGTATATATACTATTATTCTACTTAGTTAGATAGTTATAATTTACTAGATAGTAAAATAATATTCTATATAGTTTATAGCGCCTATAGTAGCTCTTCTACTAGTCTTTTATTTAATATATTAAACTACTATAGCTTTACTCTACTCTAGTCTACTTTTACTAGCTATTATTTAAGTTTAGTAAATACTATAAAGCTAGCTTTAATATTCTCTAGCTTTTCTAAAAGTAAAAGTCTATTTCTATTAAGCTACTTCTATTCTAAAGTAGTTA